GGGGTTCCATTTCACTTCCATTATCCGGGATGGCCATGACCCTTGGAGGTGAGGGAGCCCATGACTCTGCCCGAGAGAGGCCTGAGGTCCAGGCGCCCAGATGTTTGCACTACCAGCACTCCCCCCGCCACTGTCCCCCAGGCATTGCTACATCCCTTCCATCCCCGCTTCACTGTCTCCCTCCTGAGTGTTTCATGGAAACCACCTGTGCCCATGGGCTCCTCCACTCCTTCTCCCTGAAGCTTCAGAGCCTGTGTGACATGCTCTTCAGCTCACAGCCTCGGTTCATCCCTTGAAGCTGAGCCCGGCCTGGCCTTCCCAGCTCCAGCGCCCCTCCTGGCACTGGCTGTGACTCGGCTCTTCCTCTCCACTCCGTCCTGGGCCCTGAGAGCCCCCACACCAGCTGCACCCCCCTCCAGGGGCAGGTGCCCCATGGGAAGACCTGGTTCTCACTTCAGACTGCACGGCCAAGGAGATGGACCCCAGAGTCCACCCTGGAAGGCCCAGCCCTCCACATCTTGAGTCTCGAGTCTCGAGTCTCGAATCTCAGCAACTATGGGGGTTTCCGCCCCTCCCCCATCCATGGGCGGGGCCCCTGCACGGGCTCCTGTGCGCCCCGCGAACCGGAAGCCAGCTCCCTGGCAGATGTGTTCAGGCTCTGGTTGCATCTACATTGCTCCTCTGCAGTCCGTCCCCTCTCATTGCCGGGGCTCCGGGCTCTCTCTCTGATGCCTCCTTTTGCGTTGCTGCAGATTGTTTTCAGTCCCAGTGAAGTAGGTCTCTGGCTTTGCACAGAGTCAAGCTCTCTGGCCCTGGAGGAGCTGCTTTCCACCTTCTGTCCCTCCCTCCCCGCCAGGCACCAAGTCCCCATCGTCTGAGCCACAAAGGGAGGTGGAATGGCGCCTTGAGGGTGACAGAAAGGGCTCCACTGCCCATGAAGTCCATGAACCAGCACAGCGGGCCCACTCCCCACAGGACCCGTGACATGCGCCCCCGTTCACCAGGAAGGAGCCCTGTGATCATCTGGGTACTGACATGGTGCTGACTCCTGGCCACAGAGCCCTTCCTGTGGGCCGGGCGCTGAGCTGGGCTGTTTGCAGGTGCCGTCTCCCGGTCCTCACCGTGGTCTGTGGAGTGGGTGCTATTGCTGTCCTCGGTGCTCAGAGGACGATACCGAGGCTTAGAGAAGAGAGAGGCCACCCCAGCTCATGCAGCTGGTAAGCAATGAGCATGTCACACTCCTGTGCAGTCGGTGCACCAGCCCCGTGTGTACCAGGGTCCCCACACCAGCGAGCTTTGCCCACGGCTCCAAGGACACACTCCTTGTCTCGCTGGTGACACAAACAGCTGTGTGCTGACAAAAACCCTTCTGTGCACAGGAAGCGTGTGCCCCTGTGTGTTCTAGCAGCACCCTCCCCATGAACACAGCTGGTTCCGGTCCCCAGGTGTCCGGATCCAGCCTGTGGGTTTTGTGATGGACCCACCTGCGAGTACCCCCAATAATGCCCTCCCCCCGCACCCCTGAGTCCCCTCCACGGCCAGGGAGCTGTCTGGAGAAACCACCGTTCACGAACATGTCCCCTGAGTACCTCTCGCCCCCACCATGGCCACTGTGGGGACCAGAAGACTCTTCTCCTCCCCTTGATCCCTTGTGCTAGCCCCACCGCCAGCCCGGGAAGCCAGCCTTCCGCAGCGACAGAGGGAGAAAACAGACGAGATCATTCTGACCTCATCGGCTCCAACGCGGGGCCTTGGGACGTGAATTCTGTGCTCCCAGCACTTCATCACCCTCGGTGACTGTCCTGTCTTCATTCGTTCTGGAGAATTAACTTAGCACTGTCTTTCCAATCTTGTTCTCCAGGAGGAATCAAACGACGGGGGCAAAGGGAGAACTGGCCACAGCGAGAGAGTTCAACATACTTTGGACCTCGGCTCCCTGCATCTGCAGGCCACTGCCCTGGAGAAGGCCAGGCAGGCAGGCCCCCGGCCTTGGGATTCGGACCTTTGCCTCTTCTGTTTTCTTTATTCCTGGAAGAGGCGCGGAGTTAGTGACTCTCCTCCAGTTTCGCTTACTCACCTGCAAGAGCATTTGTGGGAGGCGCAGGGCTGTTCCCATTTCACGGAGGTGGACGTGGAGGCTCCGAGAGATCGGGGACTCCCGACAGTCATGCAGCCAGTCAGGCGCGTCTGAGTCGGGGCTGCCCGCCTCCCGTGTGGGGGCCCCCTGGGGCGGGGCCGCGTCCAGCCTTTGGTGGGCGCCTGGCAGGGGCTGGCTGAGGGGATGCGGGTAGTGCCCACCTCCAGCCCCTGCGACTCAGAAGCAGCAGGGAGAACGAGCGGCTCTGAGGCCTGGGCTGGAGAGCAGATGGCGGGGGTCTCTCTCCTTCCATCGGTGCGCCTAGTTCAAGGTGAAGACGGAGGAGACCCCTGCTCAGTGCAGGGGAAGGCAGAGTGCATCTGGGTGGCCGGACCTGGGAGAATTAACTTCTCCACTCGCGGCTTTCGTGAGTCAAGTCAGGGGGTGGTGGGGGAAGGAGGGTGGGGGGGAGGGGGCGTGAGCTCCAGCATCTGATGCTCAGGGCTGCTGGCTCCTCACCTCCAGCTCCCTCTCACGGCCTCTCCCTCTCTCTCTGTGTATCAATCTCCCCCATCTTCCTTTCTGTCTTGCTCTCTGTGCCCTTTTTTCTTCTATGCCCCACCCTCCCTTTTTCTCTCCCCCTGTGTGAATTGCTTCTCTCTCCATCTCTGTCTGGATGTGCGTGTTGGGGCAGCAGGGTGGGGGTGGGGTTGGGGGGGTATTTCTCATTCTCTCTTTACCTCTGCTGCACTTTCATTTTTTATATCTTCTCCCAAAGGCTCTCCTCCTCCTGCGTGCGTGTGTTTCTGTGTCTTTCTGTCTTTTTATGTCTTTTTCTGCCTTCATCTCCCTCTAGGTGTCTCTTTTTCTTTGTTTTTCTGGTCCCCTTTCTCTGTGTGAATCTCTTTCCTTTTTCTCTCTGCACTTTTCTCTCTGTGCCGGTTGCCCCTCTCGCCTGTCATCTGTCCTTGTCCTTGCTCCCTTCCCCTGGGCTGGCCCCTCTCTCTCTCCACCCCATATTTGCTGCTGATATCAACAGAGAAACCTGGAACCTCTGATCAGAGGGCCTCCAGTTCCGAGGAAGGATAAGGCAGTTTTCGGGCAGGTAGGCAGCTGTCGGCTGATCCTCGGGGAAGGAACACCTTGCAAACCCAAAGGGACCTGAGTCACCAAATGTCATGGAAAAAACATGAGACAGAGAGCCAGAGAATCAAAGCACAAGTCCTGCCTCTTCCACTTCCTGTGTGACCTTGGGCAAGTCACTCAACGTCTCTGATCCTTGGTCCTCATTAGTCAATGGGGCTGTTGTCGAGATGAGACGAGGTGATTGCTGTGGAACTGGAAGCCCAGTGCACAGTGTTGGGGGGGGGGCACCTTAAACAGAGGAGGAGCCTGGACTCCAGGGCTGCCCAGCACGGCTCAAGGCCCACAGGTGGATACTGGACACAGGAGCTGCTGGAGGTCGTGAAGGAGTCGTGGAGGTTCCCTGGAGATGGTGGGTGCAGAGACAGGCTGGGAGGCGGCAGACGGGGGCCCAGTGTGGGGAGGGCAGCAGGAGGTGGAGGCAGCGTCCCCCTCCTCGGCCAGCTTGGGGCCTCTCCCTCCCCACACCCAGGTCCTCCCAGTGCTCTCCCCAGGGAAGGCCACCCCAGGGCTCCACAGAGGTAGAGAGCCAGGAACCAGTGACCAAGCCCATTGAATCCAACCTGTCGTCAGGAGGGGAGCAGGGCTGAGGACGCCCTCCTGTCCCCGCCCAGCATGTGGGGCTGAGACAGACGGCGCCACCTCTCAACAGACATGCTCACTCACAGGTGTTGACCGGGCCCTGATGTGCGCGGGGCTGGTGATGCCGGAGGAGTGCCCAGTCCAGAGGGGAGACGGGTGCCGCAAACACCCACAGGGCACGTGGGCCACCGCACGCCGTGATGGAGGAGGATGGGGTGTGACGAGCACTCAGAATCTGAAGGGTGGAAAGGGTTGACCTGCCAAAAGCCTGGACAAGAGCCTGCAAGCAGCTGGGACAGCCAACATGGAAACTGAGTGTGAATTCACTCTGGTTGGAGACACAGGAGAATGAAGTGCTGGGACTGCTCTGGGAGCCGGGCCGAGCAGGGGGAGGGTCTTAACCTGCCAGTGTGGGGCAGGGCCAGGAAGACTTTAAGGAATCAGAGCCGACTTCCTGGAGGAGGAGGCACTCAAGCTGGATCTTGAAGTTCAGATGGGATACGGAGATGTGGAGATAAGTACACGGGCATTCTCAGCCTAGGGAACAGTCTAAGCAAAGGGCTGGTGGTAGGGAACCTCAGTGTGGGATCCTGGGGCCACATCGCCTGGAGCACTGGTCACCAGCAGGGATGTGGTGGGAACTGTGGCTGCAAGAGTGGATGGTGGCTGATGGGGCCTCGTGTGCCAGGTGAAGACCCTGCAGTCGGACCACTGAAGGCCCCAAAGCACAGGAAGGTCAGCAAAGAGCAAGATAGCCTGCCTGCCCTCCTCCCGCCCATCTCCCCAGCCCTGGGCCTGTCTGCCCTCTTCCCACCACGTCCCCAGCCCTGGGCCTGTCTCGCCAAGCCTTCAGGCTCCCCTCCTGCTGTCTGTTCCCCAGGGTCTCTTGGCCTCTGTCACTGGGTTCATCTCTCTCCATCTCTCTCTCTCTTTTTCTTATCTCTGTGCTTTTCCTCTCTCCCTCACTCTCTTTTCGTCTCTTGGCCTCTCTCACTACTTCTCAGCAGTTCTCTCTGTCTCTCTCTCCACGCTGTCAGCCAGGCTCTCGCTTCCAGGCCTCCCATCATCCGTCTTTCTCTGTGCTTCTTTGCTTCCAGTCTGTTCTCTGTGTCTGTGTTTCCTTGGTGTTGATTCACCCTCTGTCTCCCTCTGAGTCTCTCTGGGCGTCTCTCTGTTTCTCTGATCTGTGTGCGTGTGAGTGTGTGTGTTTTTCTCCCTGTCTCTCACACACATGCACACACACACTCTCCCCTGCTGGCTTCGGGCCCCGTCCCGGCTCCTTGCTGCTGTCTCAGAGACCCAGCCCCGCTCTGGGCAGCAGCTCCTCAGCGAGCCGGGCTCCAGGCATCTGCTCAGGGCTGGCCCTGGGACAGGGGAAACCAGCCGGAGCCCCTGAGTGTGGGCAGGCAGCAGAGGAGAGTCAGGACCAGCAGGCGGGGCCTCCCGACCTGGAAGGGAAGGTCTGATTTTCAAAGCACAGGCTTGTGGGCGTTTAATCTTGAATGTTCTCTGGCTCATTCCACAGCCTCGCATCTCCCTCCTCTTTGCCTCCCGCCTCCAGGTTTGTCCCCGGCGTGATGCCAGCAAGTGTCTGGGCCAGACCCTGAACACTGCGGGCAGGGGCTGAGCCAGAGGAAGGGTTCAGAAGTGGGGGGCCTGGGGCCAGGGAGGGCCAGGCGTGGTCTGGAGCAGGGGGCGCTGCCCCTTCAGTGCCAGGCCTGCCCACCTCCTGCACGTACGGGCCCTCCCTGTCTGCTCCCCTAGCCCGGCACCTTCCTTGGAGAGGACCCCCAGCCTCTGATCTAAAACGCCTCACTGTGGAAATGGTCAGTGGTGGTCCTCACCTCCAGGGTCGGGAGAATGGATGAGATGGCACTGCAGGGCCCCGAGTGCTGGCCAGCCGGGACCTGACGTTGTGGGTGCATAACACACAGTGCGGTGAAGGAATGAATGTGTGAATGGAGGCGTCTGTAAGGACACGCCGATGTTCTCTGGGCCATTTAGAACACCCTTCGTGCCTCCATGATAATCTCCAGTCCAGTGCAGTGCAGTATTGGCTGCTTCTCAGCGGCCCCGGCCGGGCTGTGCAGACAGAGGCCGAGGAGGCGGCAGGAGGGGAAGGAGGAGTCCAATCAGCTTTGTCCAGGGCTGCAGGGCGCTGCCGGGCGCCAGGAGGGAGGCCCAGCCCTGCTGGTGACCACAAAGGTCCCAAGAGGGCCGAGCCTTTCTTGGGTCAGGCCCAGGACACTGAGAGCTCAGTCTGGCTTCTCTCTGAGGCTCCTGGTTTGTACGCCACCACCCTCCCGGGTCTCCCAGCCCGAGGACAGAGGCTGCATCCTTGGTAGGGTGCTCCCAGCCTCTCCTCCACCCAGTCCTGCCAGCCTTCTCTCCTCCGCCCCTGGCCACACCTGCCCTTGGCCTGGCCAGTCTCTGCGTGTGCCCTCCTCTCTGGCCTTGCCCGTCTTTCAGGGCCCACCCTGATCGCCCACCTCCTCCAGGAAGCCCTCCTCCCAATTAATCTCACCCACACACGGGCCTTCACAATCAGAGAGAGTCAGGGTGGAGTGTCCCAGAGGCTGGCCCCAGGGGCAGGTGGAGCCTTTCTACACCGGGTCTCCAGCCTCCAGTGCAGGCTTTGCCCACCCAGCTGTGTGCTCTTGGCAGGTTCCCCTCCACATGGAGCTTGTTTCCTGTCAGCCAACCCAGGACGATGGTGCGCCCTCCCTGGGCCACAGGGAGGGTTCAATGAGATCCGACAATGCAATCTACCAGCACACAGTAGGACCTCAATCCAGGTTTGTCCACCCATTCCCAACCCACTCTGGATGAGGAAGAGAAGTCCAGACAGAGAGGAACTTCCCATGAGGGGAAAGATCTTTGGGGGTACAGGGATGGGGCTCACCCCACCGCTGCCCCTCAGCAGCTGTGTCACCTCTCTGAGCCTCAGTTTCGTCACCTGTAAGATGGCAGAGCTGTTCTGTGTGAATAGGACCGAGGCGCAGGTTCTTCTGGTGTGTAGAGTTAGGCATCATCATGAGTATCTATTTGCATTTGTTAAACATGTTGGATTAAAGGAGAGAGGGATTTATTTCAGAGGCAGGTGCCTGGGATAAAGAGGGAAGTGACGAGGGAGGGGTGCACCCCATTCCATGGGGAGAAGGGAGAAGGCCAGAGCATATTCAGGAGACGCCGTGTGAGGCTCAGCGCCCAAGCAGAGCTGCTGAGGGGCCCCGGTGGCATCGAGCTTCTAGAGATGGGCATTCCCCCTGGAGCAGGCCACCGACCCAGCACCTCCTGGGCTTCTGGGATCACCGCCTATCCCAGCACGGGGAGACCCCAGCCCTCAGCGGAGGCGCAGGCTCCCAGAGACACCAGCACTGGTGGGCAGAGGTGGGAGGCCCAGGAAGAGGGCGGAGAGGACGGCTGAGGGTGGATGGAGCCCTGAGCATGTGTCCCGCCTGCTGTGGACACTTAGAGATAACCGGGGAGACCCACGCAGGAAGCGGGGTTCTGTGGTCACTGAGGCGGGTGAGGGCTGTTGTCTGACGTTAATGTGGCCCCTTATTTCTTGCTTTGAGGTGTTCTGGTTACAAGGAGATTCACCCGCCCTGTCCAGAGCAGCGGGTCCAGAGGGATGCCGTGCACTGAGAGATGCTAACGGTAATGGGTTTCCATTGCGAAATCTGCTGGGATAACTGTGGTTTTTCGTTTGTTTTTCTCCATAACAGCCTGGTAAAAAAGAAATAACAGGCCCCAGATGGACTCATTTGCCCCATGACAGCAAGCCAAGACATGATGCAGTTTTGACCTTTCCCGGAAATGTAGTCTTAGTCAACCAGTCTGGAAGCTTCTGGTCGGTATCAATGAGGTCATCCGTCGGGGGGCCCTCTCCATCCGCCGAGGAGGCCGAGGCGGCCGAGGCGAATCAAACCCTTGCCCTCCCCTCTCCTAAAGAGAAGAGGTTCTGGCCCCAAGGAATCCTTTCTTTTCTTTAGCTCATACTTCCTTGCCCATCCTCCTTCCTGTGGGAACCTTCCATTTTGTATCGCTCCTTGGAGTCTCTCTCTGCTTGCCAGACGACAAGCTGTCCGTGAATCTTTGGATGAAGCCTATTAGATCTTCAAATTTACTGGGTGCATTCTGTTTTTAACAAACCTCAACGTCAAGGGGCTCGGAGCAGCGACCTTCATCTTCCTCCCTCCCGGGTCTGCAGGTGGCTGGGGCAGGGGCTCTGCCTCAGGCTTTGGGTGAGCTCTGGGCTGCTCCTCAGGCCTCTCCTGGAAGCAGCGGCTCCACGCCCTCACGGGACGAGGCCAAAACGCAAGAAGGGCGAGCGCACAAGCCAGGCATGTCTCTTAAGGCTTCAGCTCAGAGCGGGTCACTGTCACTTCCACCCGCGTTCCCCTGGCCAGTGCGAGTCACATGACTGCGTCCACCGTCAGTGGGACAGGGCCCTGCGCTTTCCCACTCCAGAGCTCCATGATCATGTGGCGGAGGGAGGGAGGGACCGGGAGCAAGGCCCATGTGCCGCCTTGACACTGCAGCCCCAGGCCCCTCTTGCAGAATCTCGGAGCACCCAGGCCCCAGGCGTCTCTGGCAGGGTCCCCAAGTCCTTACCCGTAATATTGGGCAAACTGGCTCGAGCCCCATCCCATGTACTGTGGGATGTCCACGGGCCTCTCTGAGCGTCTGCCGTTCCCCAGGGCCTAAGGACTCTGATCCTTTCCCCTCCTGGTTTCCTGATTCTGCTCAACGTGGTCCATCTCCTTCCTGGGCTGTCCCCTCCACCCCACCCCGCACTGAGTTTAGGGCCCAGGCTGGGTTATTCTAAACTCTCTTTTGCCTGGCTAAGCAGAAGGCCATCTATTCTGAGTTTCTATCCTTTAGTATTACAAACTCCTACTGGAAATGTATTATTATTGTTGTTGTTGTTGTTTTGCCTCCAACAGGATAAAATTCTGCGCCCCCCCCCCCGCCCCCTCAGGGCCGGGTAAGCCAGAGGGAACTCTACGGAGGCTCCTCTCCTGCCTGCCTCCTGGCGGAGCGGCGCCAGGCACTGAGGAGCTTCTCGCCAGCCTGCTGAGCGTATTAGCACATGGAAGGTGCACCTGGCCCTGGGGCATCTTTCCTGGAGCATCTGTCACCCAGTTCTGACAGGGGATGGCAGGAAAGAGCCTGTAGGATTTAGGGTGCTTGAGAGGATTAAATGAAGGAAACCATGTCAAGGCCCCGGGGCACCAATAGGCATGAATTGTCAGTGTTAGATCTCCTTTTCTTTAGAGAACGCCTCATCTTAGGGTGACCCTATATCACTGTCCATGCCAGGACATTTGAGAGCGCAAGGGGACACTGCTCTTAATGACATCCATGACAGGCATAGACGGGGACTGTCCCAGGCCCACTAGGAGCTGTGGTGGCCCCCTCTCCCTGGACCTTATCAGACTCTTGTTCCTCCACTCCCTCCCTCCCACCTCCACGAGGAAGAAGCGCGGCTTGCCCTACGCTCAGAGTACACGGCTGCCTCCTGGCCTGGGGGCCCTGGGGTGGGCAGGACTCAGACTCCGGGGACCATCCAGCCTTGCCTTGAGCCTTTCCCCGTAAGTCTGCACTTGGGGTTGGAAGGGGGGTGCATCTCCTGGACTCCAGCCTCCGCCCTCTGCCATGAGCTGACCCTGAAAGCTGTCTTCCTTGGCCCTTTCCTGACAGCACAAAAAGGCCCCTGGGGGAGGACCGTGCCCCCACGAGGCCCATATACGGCCTCCCACTGCACCCACACAGCACAGCAGCTGCCTCCCCCAGGCCTCTGCGGAGAGGGGACCGACTCCCTGGATAAGGGGGGTGAGGGTGGGGGGTGTGGGACATGGGAAGAGCCGGGTAGACCTGAGTCAGATCTTGGCTCTGCCACTGTGACTTAGGGGTGGGTCACGCCACTTTCCCGAGCCTCAGTTCCTCATCCGCAGAGTGAGTATAATGACACCTTTCTCCCAGGATCGTCGTGAGAAGCTATTGGGTCCCTTGAAATCACTGAGTCTCATTTCTATCCCCACAAGGTCAATCCCACCAGTCTCTAAGTCCACACGCACATGCACGCACACACACGCACCCCAGGCAGGCATGCATGTACCCCTAGAATGCATTCTCCCCTCCCCTCCGGTTCTCGAATCCTCCCCGTCCTTCAGGGGCCCAACTCAGTTTCCCCAAGACCCTCTAGAGCATGGGCTCTTCTGGAGCATCCCATTCCTGGAGTGGGAGACCCCTCCCCATGCTGCCTTGGATGGGCCTCCACGCCCCAGGCATCCACTTGTCCCTCCACTGGCTGTTGACAGGTCTGCTGCCCCCTCCAGCTGTGACCCCTTCATGGAGAGACCACATCTGGCCCTTCCACAGGGCCTGGCTAGGGCTGGGAAGAAGGAGGTCCATGGGATGAATTGAAAGGGATGGGCGAGGGGACAATGGCGGGAGGGACCGGCTCCTCCAGCTCGTCTCTCCTCCATCCACGCCCACAGTCTGTCTCACACACTTGGCTCTCATTGCCAAGTGTCTCACCCCCCACAGGGGTTGTCTGTTGCTCTTTCTGCCCACTTTGCCCCCCTAGTTCTGGAAACAGCCACTTGTTTGGGGCAACGCCCACCCCTCCCCCGACACCCCATACTCCAGTGATGGGATCCTAGTGGGAACTGCCAGGCATCCTCCAGAGGGAGCCAATCAGAGTCCTTCCCTGGGAATTTTTGCATCAGGACCCAGGGCAGACAGCTCCTCCCTCTCCAGGAATGAAGCCGGGAAGAGGGACCCCGAGGCATCGTCAGTGGCCGTGAGCTCAACCTTGGAAGCAGCTGTCTGGGCACAGAGGATGCAACTGGCTCCCAAAGAAGGAAACAGAGAGGGAGAGAGAGAGAGAAGGGAGCTTGAAGGACTCTATTCCTGGTCCCCGCTGAGTTCCTGAGACTCAGCAAAGCTCCAGGACTGGTGACATGACACTGTACATTTCACAGCTTGCTTAAGCCATGCTTCCGTCACTTGCAATCAGAAAGTCCTGGCTGACCCACTGTGTCTACACAACTCGAGTCACCATAAGCTCTCTCAGGATAGAGACGGGCCTGCTCGGCGTGGAAGGGCGACTGGGCCGTCTGTAGTCAGAAGACCCGGATTCCAGTCCCGACTCTGCCCATGCCCGACCGTGTGTCCTGGGGCGTGTGGTCACCAAGCAGTCCAGGGCGGAAGGAAACCCAGAGAATGTCGGATTGAGCCAGTGCACTGGCGGCTTCTCAGGTGAGACTGCAAAAGGGCAAGAAGTTCTTGGTAAAACTCAGTTTTCCCAACTGTAAAATGAGGCCGTGATTTCTAAGGGCATCTCAGATGAAATCTATATCATCTATATCTACGTCTATAAAATTGATCCAATTGTGGCAAACATATAATAAGCTCCCACAAGGTGCTCGTGCTGCACTAGGCCCAGGGATCCACTGGGAATGAGGCTTGATGGCTGCCCGCAGGAGCTTTGGTGTAGGAGAAACATCTGCTTTACCTTGACCTTGAACCCTCCTTTGATGAGCAGAGACCAATCTAGAAGGGCCTTTTGGTAGTGGATCCTGGGCCATAAGAGAAAGAGGCTCCCACAGCACCTGGAGGCCTCGCCTCACCTGCGCTGGTTCAAACCACTTCCCGGCTGGAGTCCTGGGGAGAAGTGGAGACAAGTCTACCTGCTGCTCCAGCTGGGAGTCTAATCATGCCTCGCCCGCTGCTCAGGCTCATCCGAGCCCTTGGCTTCCTGGAGACCACCCACCACATATGCCCCCACCAGGCAGTCCTGGTGGCAGCTGCTCCCCCAGAGGTGACAGAGAGAGAAATGACTTCTCCCCGTCTCCTGGTTGGATCCAGCCAGTGGGCGCAGTGGCATCTGAGTCCTGCCAAGCCTGATAATGGAACTGTCGCCGTCAGACTGGCCCTGGGAGGTGAGTGGTGAGAGTTCCAGGAACCTGGAGATTGTCTGCCACGTGGGTCACCTCGCACTGGATTGGCTCAGGGAGTGATTTCAGACTGCAAATTGCATTGCGAGCTCCTCTTCCCCGACCCTCAGCAGGGCCTGTCACAGTGCTTCTCTCAGACTCCAGCTCCTAAAGCTCCCCCAAGACTGTCATCATCAGAGACAGCCCGCTCTGGGCTTGAATCCCTGGGCAGAAACTGACAGGTGTGGGGCTGCTGGCAGGTTACTTCATGGAAGTGTGGGAACATGGGAGTTGTAATTGTTTCAGTTGGGTCCATTTCTTTCAGGACAGACATTCATACGGGCTTAATCCAGAAAAGGGAATTTATAGGCTTATGTAACTGAGAAGTTCAAGGACACCCGGTTGCTGAGTGACAGAGCCAGGATTCCGGGGCAGAATTGCCAGGTGCTAAAATCACACTGTTCCAGGTCCCCTCACACCTGGCTCAACCTTCCATGTCCCCTCACACCCAGAATGAAATCTAAGGGCCCTCCTGAGGCCTCCAAGGCCTGATCCAGTCCCCCATCCTCTCTGACTCCTCCCCTGCCCTCCCCCCATCTCTGCTCCTGCCCCCCGACCTTCTAGCTGTCATGGCACTGCTCATCAGGCCATGCTGAGGCGGTGTCCCACATGCCACAACTATAAGGACCCACAACTAAAAACACACAACTATGTACTGGGGGGCTTTGAGGAGAAAAAGGGAAAATGAAATCTTAAAAAAATAATAATAAAAATAAATAAATAAATAAAAGGGAACTCTGGTAAATTCTTCTATAACATAATGTATCTTCCAATATTTATTAAAAAAATAAAAAAATAAGTTGCCATTGTCTTGGTTGTTGGAATGCTGGGTGATTTTCGATTGCACCCTGGTCATTTTGATATTATGTTAAGAGAGTCTGGGCCTTATTTCAATTGTGTATTTTACCAGACAGTCGCCTGTCAGGGTTAGTGGTACTGTTGTGAGCTGTGGCCCCAGCGGTGGTTTAATTGTCAGAGCCTTTGTGGTGTTATTTTGGTCTGCGTGGTTTATGGGGTGCCTCCATGGTTCCTACTGGTCTCTCCTGGGGCTCACTGAGGGGGTGCAAGGGGTTTCTCCAGGCTGGGCTGCCAGGTGTCTCTTGGTGGGGGGCATGTGGTGGGAGCCCATGACTGGTGCTACCTTTCCACCTGGTACCTCTGGGCTGGAGAGGAGAGTCTCAGGCCCACAGAGACAGAGGCTTGACATCAGATTAGGACTCCTTGGGATGTTGGAAGTCTCTGAAATGCTCTGATGTGGGAGAGGCTGCCACACTCATGCTCCACAGTCAGTGCTGGTCCACTTGTCTTCACTCTCCCGACAACACTCACTCCTGAACAGCTCGATGGGCTCAGCTCTTCTGATCCTTAAATCAGGTCCCCCAACTGGACTACAGGGCACTCTTTCTGCACTACACACCTGACCCCTGTGTTGCTTCTGCTGAAGAACAGTGCAGCGGCTGACAGCCTGGGTCCCGGAACCTGAGTGCCCAGGTTCACATCCCAGGTCCACCCCTTAATTCTTGTGTGGCCTTTGGTAATTTACCTAATCTCTTTCTGCCTCACTTTCCACATCTGCTAGTGGTGAGGACAGCGACCCCTGCCTCTCAGGCTTCTTGTTGATTGAGTTCGTGTGGGACCATGCCTGGTGCAGAGTAGGTGTTCCACAAATATCAGGGAGAAACGATGCCCTGCTGGCCTCAGGACCATGCCAGACTCTGTGGCTTGGCTTTCAAGATTCTTCACCATCTGGCCCCTGCAGACTCTCCAGCCTCATTCCTGTCACTTCTTGAATTACACTTGACCCTGCGGCTGCCCTCTGGTTCCTGAAACACCTGGCCTCACAGTCACCTCTGACTTGACCAGTTTCTCTTGCCTCCCCTTGAAGATTCAGCTCGGGAGCCAGCTTCCCAGGAAGCTCTCTCAGCTCCCCGCTCCTCTCCAATGAGTAACATGCCCCCACCCTGTGCCCCCAGAGCTGTTTTTCATATCCCTGTCATGGTGGTAACATTAGCTTGTTCAGCATCATTTACTGAACACCTACTATGTCCCAGGCACTGTGTTGGGCCAGAGTTACGGTGGTGAAGATGTGTGTCCTGATTCTTGCTTTTGGGGAGTGGGTGTTCCAGAAACGGAGACCTGTGTTGGCTGCTTTGTCAGCAGTGTCCTAAGCTCTCAGCCCTTGTGATAACAATGCTGGGGCTTTCGGGGGCCTGAAGCATCTGCTGCCCTGATTCTGAACCAACCAGAGGATCCAGGGCGTGGCGGATGGAGAAGGAGCCTCCCCTTTATCACTGATAAAGCTGTTGCCGGAGGATGGGGCTCATACCTGTGGGCATGTGGACCCCTACTGCGCACCCCAGGGTTAGGCAGGGGTGATCCCACCATCAAAGGCAGCACTGGACCCCCACAGGCTTCCCCAAGTTCAGGGTGTTGGGGCCTGTTGCTATAAACTTCTGGCAGCGGGAGAGCAGGGCAGACGGCGAGCTCCTCGTGGGCAGCCAGGCTCCCAGAGAGAAAGCAAGAAGCGCAGGGCCGGCCGAACTGGTCCTGCTCCTCCCCAAGCTCACCCAGCTCTGTGGGAGGGGGAGGCCAGGGTGTCTGGGGGACACCCCTCACCGGGGAGACTAGGAGGAGGAGAAAGCCCCCCGCCAACTCTAAATAATAGTGTGATCGCTCGTCGAGCATTGCTCTGTGCTAGGCAAGGTTGGCACCATCTCACAGAAGAGGGAACAGGAGCCTTAGAAACATCAGCTCACTCTTCCAAACGCCTGGGAAGTGTACCTGGGTACAACCCACAGCCCTTGCTCTTTGCCGCCCCCTGCAGTGACCACAGCAGACTCTGGACCCTGCTGGCCTCGCCCCTGGCCTCCTGGGACGGCTCACTGGGTACTGACCAGCTCTGACATCAGAAAGTGCTTCTTCCCATTGAATTCCGACCCCCTTCCTGGAACATTCTGCCCACTGGCCGTTGTTTTGCCCTCTGGAACCACAGTGAGTTTAATCTGCTGAGTAACTGCAAAATAAATTTAATAAACTCCATTAAAGTGTGTCATCTCGTGGACAGGGCGCAGAATTTCTGTGCTTCAGACTCTCTCATAATTACTGGAACCATGGAAATTGCAGGGATCAGAGACTCACCTGGAGACGGGGACCGACTGTGTCACCAAGAAACGCAAATGAGCCGAAACTCCTGCACAACAAGGCAGGCCGGGATTTGTGTTAAATTAGGGGATGAGTCCAGACCATTAAGTCCATGGGGATGGACAGCGACCTTCTAGGGCTCGCTAGGAAACGGGGGAGGCGGGGGAGTGGGAGGGGTTGAGTGGGTGATCGGGCGGCAGCCCACCTTTAACGAATTGATCTCTTAGGTCTGAAAGGAGCACTGGAGATCTGGGCTAACCCCGTTTTCCGGATGGGCCAACCTTCCTCTACCACAACGCCCCACCCCCACCCCCAGGGAGGCGGGGATTTGCCCCAGAGCACGCAGCTGGTCCATGGGAGACCTCAGACTAGAACGCGGGCCTCTGACACTCTCCCAGGGACCTTCCCACCACGCCAACAAATCCTGGTTCCCTTCAGCTTTGGTGATAACAGTGGCCCCGGATGGTCATCAGGTGATCAAGAAACATCCATGTTGGTGAGGAAGAGCCGCTCTTCAGTCTAATGCTGTCCTTGAGCATCCGCTGTGTGTCATGTGCTGGGTCAGGGGCGCTCCTGTGTCATCCCAGCCTTATGGGATGCCAGTTACCTCCACTTTATAGATGGGAAAACTGAGGCTCAGAGTGATGAAAATGCTTGCCCAAGGCTGCCCTGCTAGGCATTTGCAGAGCTGGAATCCCAGCTCGGGACTCTGACTCCACAGCCGATATCTGGTACTGCTGAGAGTTTCTAGTCCTGGTCAGACAAACGGGTTCATCCCAGGAGCCACTGCTCATTGGTTGGTTGTACCCACTTGATATGCTGCCTTGAAAAGGAGTTTTGGACTAAGTTTGGGATCGGGAAGAAAGAGTGCTGTGATGGATTGGTGATGTCTGCCAGGGGAGCACAGAGGTAGAGAGTGAATGCCCTGCATCTGCCATTTGTGCTGAAGCCTCGCACGTGCCAGAGCCCACTGGGTCACATGTCAGGATCTGTCCCTGAGGTGGGACAGGGCGAGTGCTGCCGGCTCTTGCCTATGATGCCATGTGGTCTGGTTCTACTCTCAGGCTCTGGGTCCTCCAGTTCTCTGCTCTGCTCTAAGGGGACAGACACACCTTGCCACTCCCCTGGGCTGGCCTTGGGATTGAAAAAGATCACGGATGAGGATGCACTTGACGTCTGGTGGAAATGATGGAGGGGAGTCATTTAAACACAATTCCCATCTCTCAAAACAAATGGGAGACAGCACCTAATGAAAAATAGGGAGGGATGGGTCTGTTTTTACTGTTATTTGGACCAGAATTCAGCTACAACTCTATCCATAAACTCTGACGCATTCCCGCCAGGCAGGGTGAAATCTAAACCAAAACAAATGAGGACCCTGAGGACCCACGCAAACTTCCTCAAGCGGGTTTCCTTAAAGTTCAATACCCCTGGCGTGAGTGGTTTATCCAAGAACCCTTGGCTTGAAGTTCTGAGACCCAGAAGGACCCCCAGGGGAGTGGCAGATGCCCCAGGGAGACCCCCCAGAGCCGTAGCACCTGGAGGGCAAGGGAGCTGGGGCACGTGTACCCCAACTCCTCACCCATCATGGCTGAGGTGCTCCCAGGGTCATTCATGCCGGGACACCCCCAGCCAGGCCTCGATGGAGAGGTGCCAGTAGTCAAAGTAGGGTCATCAGGATGCCCTGTGACGGCGAGTGCCAAGGGGACACAGCGAGGCACCAGTGGCATCTGCATAAAACGTGACTGATGGAGGGGGAGGCGGACTCTGGCTCCTTCTCAGTCCACACCCACCTCCCCCACCACCTTCCTAGCCACCCCAACCCCACAAGGGAGGGGACGTTGCCAATCAGCTTCAATGTCAGAGGCTGAGATGCTGAGGGCTCCCGGGCACTGGTCAGGGTCACGCACCCCTCCCCCACAACCTTCTCCACTGCCTGTGACGCGCTGCCAGTGGAGCAGGGGCACCGTCGGGGCAGGAGGAGGGGCCCTCAAGTCCAGATGCAGAGCAGAGGGCCACATGCTGAGAGGACCTGGCCTCTCGGGCGGACCCTGCAAAACACTGTGATACTGTCAACGAGATACCACCACGACGGCCGTGTCGTGGAAGACTTGGTGGTCTCTGAGGCTGCGACACCTTCCAGCGGGCCGCTAACAACCCACAGTGCCACAAACCCCATCACGTGGGAACAGCACCCGGAGCCCATGCCCCTGGTGGGGTGGGTGCTGCCCCTCCGCGAGCTCCTGGCTGCCAGCTGGACGGGCCGGGCATCCTCGAGGGCAGACCCCCGCAGCCCCGCCCCGGGCACAGACACGACGTTGGCGCTCGGAAGTGACTTCTCCTTCCCGGGAGCTCGCGGTGGAGCCCGCGGTCACGGCCGAGGGGCTGGGGGTGGCTCAGGGCCAGAGAACGGGAGGTGATGGGGGACAGCGCCCCGCAGCCCTCTGCCTGCTTTGCTTCCAGCATGGCCATGGGAGGCTGTGGGCCAAGATCCAGACC